CCAAATATAGGATGGAAGTTTAGATCTTCAATGATGTGTTTGTACATTTGTATGTTTATCAGACTTTTTGGGTGCTTTTTTAGGTCATCTGAGCTTTGCTCAAGTGACCTATTCTAATCGCTTTCCGTCCGTCGTCGTGCGTCGTGCGTCGTCCGTCGTGGGTAAACTTTTTACATTTTCAACTTCTTCTCAAGAACCAGTGGATGGATTTTTTTTCAAACTTGGTCAGAATCATCATTGGTAGATGACGCTACAAAATTGTAAAATTGGGATTCCTACCCCAACCCCTGGGGCCAGGGCAGGGCCCCAAAGGGAAAATTAACCAATATTTCAAAAATCTTCTTCTCCAGACTCAGAGGTACTACAGTCATTTTCTCTGCATGGAAAGAAAGATCATCAGGGGCTTTATTTAAATTGTAAATTTCAGGACCCCGAGCTATCCGTTCTCCCTTGCGTAGGGGGTTAAGTTTACTATAGTTTATATAGGGAAATAAAACTTTTGGGTATGATTTGACAACTTTCTGTAGGAAAACATTTTTACTTGATGAGCATTATCCTTGGAGGAAGATGGTTTCAAATTGTAAAATTGAGATTCCTACCCCAACTCCTGGGGCCAGGGCAGGGCCCCAAAGGGAAAATTAACCAATATTTCAAAAATCTTCTTCTCCAGACTCAGAGGTACTACATTCATTTTCTCTGCATCTGCATGGAAAGAAAGATCATCAGGGGCTTTATCTAAATTGTAAATTTCAGGGGAATAACACTTTTGGGTATATTTTATCCATTTTCAGCAGAAAATTACTCAAACTTAGTCAGAATCTTCTTTGGGAATGAGGGTATTTCATTGTAAAATAAGGATTCCTGCCCGATCCCCAGGGGCTAGGGCGGGGCCTCAAAGGGAACATTTACTAATATTTTCAAATTCTTATCCTTTGATGACATGACAAGTATTGTATTTCACTTAGTTTACATGCTGATTTCCACATCACATCTAAACAATAAAATAAAGCTTCCAGTACCTATGATATAACTCAGGTGACCACTAAGGCCCCTGCGCCTCTTGTTTTATCCATTTGTTGAAACGTCTAATAAAACTCCCTTTAACATCATAATACAAACCTGGGATTAATTCTTAAACCCTGTGCACAACGCATATATAATACAGTGGCATAGTTATGTACAATACACAACGTCCTACCCATATCAAGTAAAGGATTTAACCTCGATGATCGGTCAACCATTCCAACGAGAACTCCACTGCGTTAGTGTATAGGCAGGTTTTTTTACAGGTGTCTTATTGGTATCGTTAGAGTTAAAAGTATGTGACAGCGTATAGGTATGCTATGTTTAGGGCTGATGTACGTTTTCCTTAACTCTCTAGGCGCTCCTATATAGGAGCAGACAAGGTCTCCACTCTGCCTTTTGTACATTATATATTGTGTATTTCAATGGAGAACTTATATTCATATCATTGTTTGAACCCGGATGTTAAATGACATACCTGTACAGTGGGAATACTGTAAAGATGTCACTGAAGGAAACATGGAATTTCGTATTGATGGCCATGTTGCTCCTGTTGGAACAGTCAAACATCTTTGGTAGAGACCAAACTCCGACAAAACTTGTCGAAAATATGTATTTTGCAATTGTCATGAGAATTCATTTTTTTCTAGTATAGTTATTGTATGTAGCAGTGGTGGATCAAAAGACTGATCGAACGGTGGGATAGCGAAGGGAGTCCAACTCAATGCGGAAAGAGGGGTGGGAATAAAGCGGGGGGTGGGGTTGCCAAATGAGAAAATATATGCAAAAACATGGCTTTTGAATTTTAAAAGAAAATCTGCTGTCGTCAATCATTGACCGGTTGGGGTGTGTTCTCCCCAAGCCATTGAAACACCAATGTATTCCTCGACCATTATAAACTTGTGAAAGGTACATTTACCAATCCATTATGTGAAAGATTAGCGTGAAGCGTTGCGGAGATGTTATGTAAACTGACCCCCTTCCAATGCAGTCGTTGTATTTGTTGATATCATAATATCTGTCCATTGTCTTCCCTAACTATTGTACATTTTAAGTTTGTTTGTGCGTCATCAATTCAGCCAAGGTTGTATGAAGACAGGTGTCTAGAGAGATAAAACCGAAAGTAAAGAGTAAAAGAGAAAAGATAGAGAATTAAGTCTTTAAATGGGGGCAGCAGATCGATTCTGGTTTCTTCAAAGTTCCCAAGATTAGAAACAACGAAGAAAATATCCGGATTATGAAGATTGCTGACCTAAGTTTTAACGAAGTTCGAACTTTCATTTAATCCGAATCTCGTTCTACCCGACTATTGCACAAACAGGCCCTGATGTAGACCAACCCTCGATTCAGTGGTCTACTTACAGTCCTAATATCACAAAACCAGACCATCGCATGGACCTCAGGGAGTTACTATTCTGTAGAATAACAACGATAATAAAATACGGCTGTGATGAAGTCTGATATGTGTAACTCCTCACTTAAGTCTCTATATTCTATACATTAAGTGAGGCGTATCTGTAACGCTACAAGCCCCTGTGGTATTTTGGACGAAAGCCACGAGGTTTATGGTAATACCAACTGTATTAAATTATAATGAGCATTTTATCATCGTGAGAGGTAGCCTTCGATAATAACTTGTCAATAGATTAATGTATAAAATCCTCCGTTTTCAGACGGAAGTAAAATGTCAAGAGTAAATTTCCTGTTGCGCATGCGTGCTAAATATCTTATTTATGTCTTTTCGTAACATGAAGTTTAACCAATAAGCTATGACGAGGACTTAAATAATCTAATTCAGTGGCTACAATAATAAAGTCGGGTTCATGGCGCGTGCAAAAGATTCAAAGATCCTATATGGTTTGTCATTACCATTCGTTCCGAATGTGTACCCGAGGTGTTTGAAATGAATGGCCACACCTAAATAAAACAGGAAAACAGACTCAAGAAAAGAATCCTATTATTATTAGTACATAATTTGCGCCCTTTTTATGTTGAAGGTGGGAGGGGTCAGTAGATTAAATCACCCGTAAGCAGCCGTCAGAGAAGTTATCATGTACTGTACAAGCTTTCTTCACTTGCGCGAACTTTTTTTTTTTGCTGTTTTACTCTCGTTTTTACACCAACCTACAAGGCCTCCCCCCAGAAACATAGCATGACTTTGAAGTGGACTTATGCAATACAGTTATCGACGGGCTGTTTGTTACGTAACGTTGTAAACAAGTACATTGTCTGTTAGGTCAAAGTTGTACATCACTGTTGACTACCTGACATGTAATCTGACTGGACAATAATGGACGCACCGGCCTCGCTCTAGGCACTCAGATACGTACCTATATTAATTACCACAGGTACTTATCGCGGATGAGCACAACATTACAAGCGTACTTAAAATATACAGTGCATTAGTTATGCTTTACTCATTCTCTGATAATAAGGCGGCCAGGGTTCGTTTCCTTGATCGGACGCGAAAAGGTATGGGGTTTCCTGCCTGCCACGTGGGTTTTCTCCGGGTATTCCGGTTCCTCCAACAAAGAGGAGAAGGCAGAAAGGAAAAGAAAGGAAAAAATAAAGACGGGGAAATGGAGAGAAAATGTACAAGGGGGGAAGAGGGAAACGGTACAAGGGAAAGAGAGGGAAAAGGTACAAGGGAAAGAGGGCAAAGGTATAAGGGAAATAGAGGAAGAAGGTATAAGGAAAGGAGAGGGAAAATATACAAGGGAAGGCGAGGGAGAAGGCAGAAAGGAAAAGAAAGTGAAAATACAGACGGGGAAAGGGAAGGAAAAGGAACAAGGGAAAGAGAGGGGAAAGGCACAAGAGGAAAGAGAAGGAGAGGGCAGAAAGGGGAAAAGGAGGTAAAACATAGACGGGGAAAGGGAAGGAAAAGGAACAAGGGAAAAAGAGGGGGAAAATGCAAGAGGAAAGAGAAGGAGAAGGCAGAAGGCAGAAGGGGAAAAGGAGGTAAAACACAGACGGGGAAAGAGAGGTACAAGGGAAAAGAGGAAAAAGGCTGACGGAAACGAGAAGAGGGAAGGAGAGATGGGTCAACTGTGATTTGGATATGTGAGTAGGACATCAAGTTATCCAATCACCAACGAAGTTACAGCTGGCATTGATATCTGACCGAGTTTTACTTTGCACAGCAGATTCTGGTTACATAAAAGATAAATCTCATCCGTGTACCCACGGTCTTAATAAAAAAATTCATAGTTATGTAAATGAGTGCATGGGAAAGTCCGGGTCAGAGTTCAGCACGTGCCGCATTACATACACGTGTATAGGTGAGTTTAGGACAGTAATGACACGTACAGGTGTTTGTGTCTGCCTAGCAATTGAACGATACGGACTTTCCCACCCACCGGCCCCTTTTTCGGAAATGCATGTTTCTGTGTCTTTCATTTTGTGATTGCAGAATCTATAATGGGCGAGCACATCAAAACCAGATGGAGATGAAGACAGATAGGAATATAAAGTTCGGGACTCGCTGTTTGAAATTTCGATTTAACATTGTATGAAGTGAATAAATGTACGTCCTCGTTTAGCTATAGGCGAACGAACTCCCAGTAATAAGTTTGAGTTTATATGATAAATAATTTATGTTTGTTTAAGAGGAGCGAACTAGAACATAATAGCTTTTAATAGCTAATGTTAAATGTTTTTAAATATCCGACATTAAATAAAGTTTATTGTATTGTATTGTAGAAAACAAGTATTGTTCGAAAAAATCTACTTTTAAACTTGCCTGGACCCAAGAATGGTATACAAGATATTTAGTTAGAAGTAGAAAACGGGCTTGTAGATATACCATGTATCCGTACATAGTATATAGTTATAATAACAATACCTGTACTCACTCATAAACAATGAGGCACTGACATACATCGATCCATCAAAACCAAAATCATTCATATGCACCGACAGAGCAAAGATATTAAATGGATACTAGTACGAGAACAGCGTACGGAATGATGTCAACAAACCTTTGGGCATTCCACAGGGCCCTGGCGTACGGAGGTTATCGAGGAAATCAAAGGCGTATTTCCTAGCAGGAGGGAAGGTCAGAGCAACATGTCCATTTCCAGGGAGGAAAAACAGCGACTGGAGCACGGCGATCACAAGGATGTGATATCCAGCCATTCTGTGAGGTGGTAAAACACAGGTGGGTGTTCTCCTTCTTAAACTCCCTACACTGGCGAATTATCTAATCAGTAACACAGGTATGATCAGCGAAATGTGTTTTAAATAGACGTATATATCAAATTTACCATATACGATTAGCACTGTGTCAAACAATCACACGAAACACAAAACTTAGCTGCTCAGGTGCTCTGTACACCTCTTTCACACTGACAGGTAAATATATACACGAAGATTCATATACCATAATCGATTCCACGCAAAGTTACCGAAGCATGGAACGCCGACGGCTCTTATAACGATTGAGTCGCTAAAAAATGTGTGTATACGTCACGCTAATAAGGCCAGGAACTGGTTGGCCGTTTTACCCTGACCAGAGACGTATAATATGTTTATACGTCTCTGCCTGACCCCACCCTGATAAATCGTACATGTAACATTGTCACTATGAGACGCGTGGCGAATGTGTTAGGTGTGTGATTTTGTATTTACAAGGGACAAACCCAGTCATTTTGTATAATTTTCAAACACACCTCTGTGTCTGTTCTTAAATACACGGGTACATATGTACCCGTATAACACAACAACCCGGTCACGTGGACAGACAGTGGTTATGGGAGGGGAAGGGCAGGAACAAGAGGGAAGGGGGGATGGAGGGAGGGGGGGNGAATTCATGCTTCAAGTGACTTAAACCACTAGATTTTCTTTTGCTAGAATCAGAGCAATTGATGATGTTTTCAAATGAGATAATCTGTTATAACAACTGGAATACAACGACCTCAAACTGCGATATGTATCTCCAAGCTTTAGCTAGAACGTGATTCCACTTGTTACTCGAGCTCTAAACCATAATCTTCAATACCCGTACCATACTAGCATCCCCATCCTCCCCCACTCATCCCCTCCCCCGCTCACAAACCCCTTGCCCCATCTGACCGTAGCATGTAAGGGAGTTGGTAGTATGTGTGTGTTTGTGTATGTGCGGTGGGGGTGCTATAGTGTGTGTGTGGGTGGGTGGGTGGGATTCCTTTTTATATATATCCCGCCAAGGATTTCAACTCTGTACCCCTATTCCAATTCCCCTCGTCCCCATGATCAGTTGGACCAGGCTACGGACATGCCTCCAACCCCTCCCCGGACTCTCCCACCCAACCCCACCCGTCTTATATACTGTTACTATAGCTACATCAACGCTTTTCGATCCTTAATCACGACCGGAACTGCCCCGCCCATGATACCCGACATAACACCTCTGTATGTGATGTCAAGTTAAGATTTAGAACAACACGATCCTATTCACAGACTATTGTATACACGAACGATTACAGTTTCAATGACTAGGTGGTTTTAAAAATGTCGGTAATCGACTTAGAAGAATATACACACTATGCAGATAGTATTACAAATATCACGACCCTGGATGTTTTCTATGAGGCCAGTCAATAGGAAGGAATTGTATGGTTCCAAAGAATTTGTCGAGTCGTGTTTTTGTTATTTATACTTCATGGTTAAGCAAGTGAACTTTTATACTGATTTTTAGTTATTTTTCTCAATAAGAATTGATATTGTGGAAAGAAAACGGTGCCAAATCGACCCTGTTGTGAAAAGGAAAGGGCATTTATTTAATTCTATATTGAGTGATGTGTATAAACAGAGCACAAATAAAGATAATTGATTTGATTAGTTTAAACCTTTTCGATAAGGTCTCTGAATGTAGTTGCGCAGCTCCTTGTGAGAATGCCTGTCACTTTTGTATATCATATGCTCTCGTTATTATATCCAGACGCATAGTCTACAACAACCTCCATATAGCATCAACATTTGAAAGTTAGAAATGGAAACCTACCGGTAAATCACTGTCTTACATGTCGGCTACGTCTATTAAGGAGCCGTGAGAGAGGTGAACAATTTGTGAAGTGACAGTATTTTTTGAGATTTTGGATTTATTAGAGGTGTTTTATTTTTAACTGAAACAAAACGCGGTTTTTTGTTAGGATGGATTTAACGCATATCATTGGAAATACACGCTTGTAAACACGTGGTAAATTACTATTGTACATATACATTAATTATTTTACTGTTTGAAGTAGGAGATTGTAGACTTATACATGGATATGTCAGCTTTATACACGTATGAGTGTACATGTATAACATTATTGCCAAATTTCATTTATTGTTTTTTTTTGTAAATTATCTTTTAAGATATTTGCAATTGATAATCTCGTATCACGGGGAAAGTCAATCTTTTTGTGTGTCTATCTCTCATTCGCGACTCGTTATATATAAAATTTCAGGTGCGGACATAGGTATGAAGCCTGATGGTAACTACTATCCTAATAAAGCCTTGTGTGTTACCTTCTCAGGAATTCTATCATTAAAACGTTTACATCAGTTTATATTACTTTATTACAATGTCTGTGTTGCGTGTAAGGTCGCAAAACTCTTATTGACTATACGGTACGGGGGTACCCGCACCAACATATGCATGTCCCCAAAAAGTCATGTGTACATGTAAACATGAAAATCACTATGTTTAAAGTTACTGACATGTTTCTTAATTATCTTTTTTAATGTTTGAACTGAACTCTGAACAGATATAACGAGTGCATGTAAACTTAGTTCACGAGTCACGTGACCCCGATCGTGACTCCATGAGTTGTTATCGTCAGCCGGATATTCTGCGTAAATGATTCGTTTGAAAGGCAGCCAATGACGAACTTTATATTGTACACCCAAATAGTTTTAGCCAAACACAAATATTCCTAATGAAACTAAATCGAATCGCTAATTTAAAACTGAACACACGAAGAAAGAGACAAAAATACAGAAAAATAATCTATAACACCACGACAGAAATCAACAACATAAAATATTACGCAGAAAAAATTCAGGACAGAATACGACACACCAAAACACCACGAGGGAACTCAACACACCAAAACACGTACAAAACTGAACACACCAAAACACGTACAGAACTCAACACACTAAAACACCTTGGCAGAACTCAACACACCAAAACACGTACAGAACTCAACACACCAAAACACCTAGACAGAACTCAACACACCAAAACACGTACAGAACGCAAAACACCAAAACACCTAGACAGAACTCAACACACCAAAACACCTAGACAGAACTCAACACACCAAAGCACCACGAGGGAACTCAACACACCAAAACACCTAGACAGAACTCAACACATCAAAACACATAGACAGAACTCAACACACCAAAACACCACGAGGGAACTCAACACACCAAAGCACCACTAGGGAACTCAACACACCAAAACACATAGACAGAACTCAACACATCAAAACACCTAGACAGAACTCAACACACCAAAACACCTAGACAGAACTCAACACACCAAAACACATAGACAGAACTCAACACACCAAAACACCTAGACAGAATTCAACACACCAAAACACCTAGACAGAACTCAACACACCAAAGCACCACGAGGGAACTCAACACACCAAAACACCTAGACAGAACTCAACACATCAAAACACATAGACAGAACTCAACACACCAAAACACCACGAGGGAACTCAACACACCAAAGCACCACTAGGGAACTCAACACACCAAAACACATAGACAGAACTCAACACATCAAAACACCTAGACAGAACTCAACACACCAAAACACCTAGACAGAACTCAACACACCAAAACACCTAGACAGAACTCAACACACCAAAACACCTAGACAGAACTCAACACACCAAAACACCTAGACAGAACTCAACACACCAAAACACCTAGACAGAACTCAACACACCAAAACACCTAGACAGAACTCAACACACCAAAACACCTAGACAGAACTCAACACACCAAAACACCTAGACAGAACTCAACACACCAAACCACCTAGACAGAACTCAACACACCAAACACACCAAGACAGATATCAATTCACAAAAAATATTACGGCGGCAATACCCCAGCACAGAATGTTAATTTGTTATTGTGTTTATATATAACGTGAGTGTGACAATTTTGTCCGTTGTGTATTTTTTCTGGTAATCAGTGTAATGTCAGTTTTTACATTTATTCTACGGTATAAAATTAAGCTTGAAATTGTCGTGTAAAACTTTTTCTAAGCTTGAAGGTTATAACTTTGTCTCACAAAAACTACAAAGTGCATACACGGCGTGTTTATTATTTGTGCAATAACTGATTCTAGGTAACTGCGATTGTTTCTGCAGACGAAAGGTAAGCATCATTCTATGTCTGATAGCAGGTAACCCTGGACCCGCTTGTATAAAACAACTTAAAGTACTGAGATTTCCTCTGGAGTTAATATGAAGATTTTTTTTTCAAATGATTTGAGATACTTCAAATTGTCTGGCTGAAATCTTCCTCAGCTCAGATCTTCTCACTTTTCTCAACTTTTGGGATTTTTCTCCGGTTCGCTTGTTTTAAAGTAAAATCTGTAGTTTTCCTCAGATAAATTTGACATTTTCCTCGAAGTTTTGAGGGAGCAACACAGTTACCACAAATATGGCTACCTAAGCAAGAATGAGACGCCGAAACAGACACAAACAACGTAAACAAAGTTTTCTTCACGCGCGTCACGAATTAACAAAACTTTCTTAAAAAAATATCTATAAAATATTCATAAATGTGGGACAGAAGAATATAGATCCAGGAAAAGTGCATGATACTAATATTCCCATTAGAACATCAACATTTATATTCTACGTCACATAATGCACATATTTAACGTTTGTTTAATATAGTTTGTTGACGGGTCGCGTTAAAATAGCATGTGTAATCCATTACAATGCTGGTAGATTATGAGGGCATGATATATATAAAGGAGGATATATTAATATAATGCACACATAAAATTGATTGGCGTAATAATCGGTATAATTCAGCGATATCCCCAGATATATTATGCACGGACCTTCTGACACGGACCAGGAAACAAACGAACAGGAGGCGGTGTCATTTGTCTCAAAATACTAAAAGTTAAACATTTTGTCTCGATAAAATACCGCATCGTGCCGATTCATTCGCGGTTTGCTCTATATTTCTTGTGTCTCTATTTTTGTTTTTGATTGGATTTGCATGGAACCTTGACATCCTGAAACAGAAATGAGTGATTGTTTATCTGACAATATTTTCATATTTTTCCATGGGATAATTTGTAGATATTTTGTTAGGAACAAACTGGCATGCCAAAGTCGATTTCATCTGAATCAGAACTTGCGACTGCCTCGAAAACCAGTCAACAAAAAGTATGCTTTAGTATGACCGGTAAGAAACATATCTTCTTTTAATAATAGCGCTATTATTTGCCCCAGAAAATTTAAATGAGGAAAGGTAAAAATGCATAAAATATAGAATAAATCTGGGCAAATCGCGAATACAATGCTGTATGCTTTTAGTATTTGTGAATTAGTATTTGTTTGGTTTAATTTTTTTCAGTTCAAACATATTTTATTGCCAAAAAATGCAAGAGGATTGGGCACAAGTTACATGAACATTATTAACGCCCTTTCCTTATAAGATAAATAATTGTTTATACACATCATAAGATGGATTTCATAATTTAAATCACTACATTTATCTATTATTGGGAGAGAGAGAGAGAGAGAGAGAGAGAGAGAGAATGTTACTTATTCATTGCAGTTTATAAATTATAATGTACATCTCAATATTCAACATATAATGCACACATTCATTCTTACTTTTATTTACAAATTATGGTATTTTTTGAAATTTGGTCATGAAAATGGAACCATCCAGCACAGTCAGCGCAGTGATATCCTGGCACTATTTGTTTGGTTTGATATTAAAGGAAAAAATATCACTAATTTATCTGAACATGAAATGAAAGGACGGAAAAAGTATCTGATATCCTTTCCTCAATAAACCCAATGAGTGCCAATAACTTGTTGAACACTGAATCAAGTTTTCACCAAACATTTTCGATACAAATTTATCATGCAGATTTTTTCATCTTCTTCCGATAAATGTATACTTTGAATGAAAATAGAAACACAAGAATAAGAGAAAACTATATTTGCTGGTGTAGTATCTACACCAAACCCGTACAACCAATAAAGATATATAAAGTGGTTAAAACGATTGTATTAAGCGTTTATGTGTCTTATATAAAGACATAGGAAAAACGTACTAGTATTCCATTTTTAAAACAAAATTTCAAACGCGACATTATTTCCACAACTAAATCTAAATCATATGAATCCCACAAATCTAAAATGTAACTTACAACTATTTGTTGAGTTCATTGAAACGTGACTGAAGTTTAACATAAAGTAAAATATAAATAGCAATGCTTTAACTATTATTTTATTGTTCGGAAACCAACAACGTTAACAAAGAACGAACACATTAGTTATAAAGGAGTAGTCCCCCTTTGATTGTTTTCAAACACTCAAATCTATTGTTCAAACGTTAGCTAAAACATATGTAGCTGCAAAATATAGACTTGTTGTCAGTTTTGGCGATATTAAGCCCTGGAAAATCAAACAACACAACACAATTCTTCTTCTCCACTTTTACAGCCACGAAATCTGATCGTGAGTAAGTGAAACGTATAAGGAACCGAAGAACTTGGGGCTGTGTCAAACCATAGGTAGTAGCATCATAGGTGTATTGACAGACGAGGTTAGTACCTGTGGCCAAACTGCACATTCAAGGTTGCAGATATCTCCATCATTGAGGTTGAGATTAAATATTCATGTAAACGGTCATATCTTTATTATCATATTTATTTAATACATACATAAATCCACTACACAAACCTGCCTACACTTTCAAATATACATAGATAAATAACATTTGCCAACGCTATAAAGGCAGCCTTTTGTTTACGAATTACTAGAGACGAGTTACTTATCTTGCTCCAATACATTTTTCTCGGTAAATGATCACATTCTTTATCTAAACTGAAGATATCTTCGCTAAAACTCTTTATACGCCAGTCAAATTTGACGGGAGTATTATGGTATGGGGTTGTCCGTCCGTTCGTCCGTCCGGCTTAAACTTTTGTTTGTCCTGCAATCTCCTCCTACATTTTTCGACCAATTTCTTTGAAACTTGGTATACATCATAATCATGATATGAAGTTGTGTCACCCTTAAAGTAATTTTGATTCGACATTTTTTTTTAAAGTTATTGCCCTTTGTTTATTTCAGTATTTGATTTTTGTACGGCAATCTCCTCCTACATTTTTCAACGGATCTCTTTGAAACTTGGTATACATTATAATCATGATATGAAGTTGTGTCTCCCTTAAAAGATTTGATTCAACATTTTTTGCAAAAGTACTTGCCCTTTGTTCATTTCAGTATTTGATTTTTTGTCCGGAGATTTTCTCCTACATTTTTATAGCATGTCAGCTAACCACTCTTAGAATGATGCAGATCTTATTTCAATGTAAGAAAGTATAAAACACTATATGACATTCAACGGGCGTATATTGTTCCGCCCTGCAGTACTCTTGTTCATTTTATCATGGAATTTATTCAACATGTTATGAAGCGGATAAGGATTAGATTATAATCAGTGTAATTATGTTAATCCTAATAATATCATACAACTCAATTACTGTAATTTTGTTAATCCTAATAATATCATAGAACTCAATTATTGTAATCAAGAGTATGTATTTGACAGCACATAATTTCAAACATACTAAATTACACTTAAAAAAAGTTTACAATAGTTTCAACTATTAGAAAATTATTATAACATAGGTAAGTAAGTATTACAAATTAAATGATTTTACCCCGCTTCCAGCCTATATCACATGCGGGTTACTGGTTATGAAATGTTCACGGAACCCAGCGGTTACTTAGCCTTTTTAACGTTATAGCTCTTGACTTTACCTCCTTGTAAACTGTACGTAAGATCTGCATCTCTTCCATTGTTGTGTAAGTAGAGCGGTCGGCCTCCATATAAGCTCAATAAAAAATAAATATGAACCGTTTTCAACATTCAACCATTTAGAAATATATAAAACCACTTGAAAAATAGAGTCCGAAGACTCCTTAATATCGAAATACAGCCAATTACAGGTTTTCTAGATTGAACCTATCATACATTGCCTCACGACCATGCATGGATTCAGTCTTTATTCTAAATTTGAATGCTGTCCTATAGTTTAAGGTCGTCGCCATGATTTCATTGTGAAAAGAGTAGTGTTTTATATCATACTCTTTGGTGTGCCTTGTTGTGTTCTTGCCTCCTCGCTTTGAGGACGTAACGTTTCTCGAATTTGACTTCATGTCGATTATCGTTGATGAACCATAGGACGCTTATCCTTCTGGAACATCTGGTCTTACTTTCTTTGTACTTTTTTCTATGGTCTCCATGTAAATCACTCTTTTGCTCATACATATGTTTTACCCCAGTTTTATCGGTTTTGAATACGGTTTGCGGTTTTGTGTTTGTCCCCTCAGGTCCTGCTTAAAACAACTTAAAGTACCGATGTATATTAATAGTTATTTTATTAATTGAGTACACCTATCGATCGATCGATCGTTCGTTAGCCTATGAGTCACGTTGACCTAGTTTTCAGGCCCATAAAACACCATGGAATAACAAAACCTATTAAACATATATAATCTTTTTATTCCTATGACTACAAGAAAATGGTAAGCAAGAACACAGATGTTGAATGATTTTACAAAAGCGTATATACTAATAGGTGTATAGGTACCGCGATATAAAACTGTATTTATTCAAATGTTGTTGACTAGAAAATTATATATTTAATTTTGTACACATATTCTTTTTAAAGCTCTAGCCTTTATATTCTGATTCATGGTTTACAAATTTGTATAAGATATGTTCTTATCGACTTATCAAAACCAGTTAGGTGATCACGATAATACAATGCATGAAGAACGTTTTTGGAAAGTCTGTTTTTAGATGTAGAAAGCCAGACAAAGTCAACATTTTACTGTACAATATGGTCCTATCGTTCACACATAACTCGTCATTAGTAATTAAGTTAATAAACTATGAGAAAATCCACGTCTACAATGTTCCGAAAAATATGTAGAATACGATAGCGACATGGGAAGGGTGATATTGGGCAAACATTGGTAGACAAGGGAAGGGTGATATTGGGCAAATATTGGTAGACAAGGGAAATGTGATATTGGGCAAACATTGGTAGACACGGGAAGGGATATATTTGGCAAACATTGGTAGACAAGGGAAGGGCGATATTGGGCAAACATTGGTAGACAAGGGAAGGGTGATATTGGGCAAACATTGGTAGACAAGGGAAGGGTGATATTGGGCAAACATTGGTAGACAAAGGAAGGGTGATATTGGGCAAACCTTGGTAGACAAGGGAAGGGTGATATTGGGCAAACATTGGTAGACAAGGGAACGGTGATATTGGGAAAATATTGGTAGACACGGGAAGGGTGATATTGGGCAATCATTGGTAGACAAGGGATCAGCGGTAGGTGTTCAATGAGACACCGTTTAACCAGTTAGTTTCGCGGATTTTAGTTTCTCGCGATTTCTTTTTGAAAAAATGAGTAATTTAATATTTAGTAGATTATAACTTTATTGTCTGGAGGTATATGAAAGTGTGATAAACAATGCATACTTCCGACCTGATATTTATATACACCCATGCACCCATCCGTAAAATGATCGGAGTGTTATTCTTTATTAAATATGCCACGAAATCTATTTTAAAAAATCACTCTTTAAATTGCTGTTTATTTATAAACAACCATGTATATCACGTAAACTGATCTCAGTATTCTAGTAAATATGTCACCAAACATATAACATAAATAACGTATAATCTATTGGAGTGTACACTTTTAATTGCTAATTATTTATATACAGACAGGTATCAGTTGTTGCCTAGCGTGTGTTGATACACCTGTATAACGTACCTGTTTGAGAAACCTGTTACAAAACATGCACTCTATTTCAATTACACTACATTAAGGATCGTTTGAGATTACATTACATACATGCTTGCTAATACATGTAACAGTACTGGTATAGTGGCAGTATTGTATTGGTTATTAGCTTTAAAACTTGCGGATCAAAGACACATTACAACATATACACAATAATTGTAGGAATTGTAGACTGCGAGAGTGCAGCAGATCAATTTTCATTTCAACAAATTTAATTGACAGAACTTTTACAGGCGAATATATTGAATAACAAACTAAGCCTGTATACATTCTTAACATTCGTGGCCGATAAAAGAAGTTTGATAAACTATATCACTAGAGTATTGATTTATC